CCCATGTTTTTGCCTCATTTACACATTTACTGTTGGCCTCTTCTGGGATAATACTGTACTGTATATAGAAAACTGTTGAGTTATTTGTTATTTTTTGTCCACTGCGGTGTTCAAAAATAATTTTAGTACAGGGTATAAAAAAATTTGTAAATATTTGGTTGGTGACGTTTTTTTCTTCTCTATTCAGTGGTGATAATCATTTCCTGTACATATTATTATTATTATTTTTTTTTTTTGGGTGGGGGGAGGGGGGAGGTGTACTAAACAAAACCTGAGAGTATGGAATACAGCAATTTCTGAGAGTACAGACTCCTATTAGGCTATGTGCCTTTCAAACCATGGCAGACCTTCCAAACCTTACCAATGCATGGGGTCTGCCCTGCAGCCAGAAGAAAAGCTGGCTGTAAATTGTAAACCCACACATACTGTACATAAGGTTTACAGGGTTTGTTAAACTTCTTTTAAAAATAATTTACACAAATGATTATTGTCACTGAAAAGGACAAAAACTGACCTTGAAATATACTACAGGGTATTTAGGCTGAAAACATTGCAAAAATAAAAAGGCCATCAGCTTAGTATTAACCAGAAATTCAGCTGCATTTTTTAAAAAAAAATTCAAAATGTGGTAGACATAAATTCAGAATATACCAACTGTTGCAGGAGATCACAGGAATGTGTTGTCATAGTACGTACACTTGTTACATTTTGGTGGCATATCTTACAATGGATGCAGGAAACTGTTTTAAAAACTTTAACTTTTTTGATACCGTAGTAAATTGGACTACATTATATTAATAAAAATATATTATGACTTTGCTAAACTTATTTACCATTACTGTATTCAATACTGTACACTCAACCAACATAGGAGATGATGAAGTGTGAAAGCACTTTTGAAGGAACTGTCGAAATATTCAATCTCCACTAATTTGTCCTGTTCGAATTAAGAATTCTCATGCCACAGAAGTAAGGAAATTTTCTTGAATACGAATTTCACTAAATAATGCCTTCCAAGTGTCTGTCAATGGTATGAATATTTTAAGAATACTGTACTGTACTATGTTACATTGGGTATTCCTATATTTTGGAACTGGGAGTGGCAGATGACACCAGGGGGTACTTTTCTCCCCTCCCCAAGTTAAAGACTTGTAAAAAGTTTACTTTCTCGTATGAGAAATGCAGCATGTTTCTAAACATAAGAAATATTGGTAACAGTGTTTTAGGAAGTTGTAGGTGAGTACCTAAGTTTACAACTTGGGGAAGTGAACGCGGTCGAGTGCAGTACAGTACTGGCCATGTTGCCTCCTTGTGTACCGAAGGCTTAGTATACAGTACAGTGTGTTGTATCCACACTGTTCCTAATGGGCAGTAATGCGTATGGAATTCACTTTCACAGTACAGTACTGTATACTGTAATTAGGAAAGATTCAAATGAAGGTACAGTACAAACAATACATTGTACTATTACAAACAGATCAGGGAAACAAAATTTATATCTCAATTATTGACAGGTTTTAAGGAGTACAGTACAGTACTCTATATTTTTCTCTGGTTAGTACTCTATTAGTACAAGTAAAATATAACTTGGTCTTAAAAGTGATAGGAAAAAAGAGTTACCTGCTGTTTTAAGCCTCAGGGTGTTGCTTATCACTGTTATCATAGATAAAAATGAGATAAGAGTTATCCTCAGTTGTCTAAAAGCTGTGTTAGAGCTCCCAGGGACTAAAAAATACAGTAGTGGTGGCATATGGATATTTCTATAAATTGTGCTTTGTGATTGTCTTATATCACTAAGTTCTACAATGATTTAGCTGTGATAGATACTGTACTATGTTATTACAATGGGGAAACCAAACTGGTTTTGGAAGAAAAAATCCTTCAAGAAAGAAAAGTAAGTGTAGTTTACATTTTAGTCTTAATTGCAACATGTACCCTGTACTATGTACTGTAATTTGGATAGGTTCATAGTTCTCTTTATTTTCACTATAGGTTTTCTGTTTTACCTTTCAACTCCTGTCAGTTCATTGCATTTAAGTATTGTTGTCATTTATTTCATACATAAGTCACTATCCCTGTGTATGGTATTAAACTGAAAATTGTCACTACAACTAATCATACATTTTTGGTTGGATTGATTCAAAATTTTGTTTGCATCTTTATTACCACTCACTCAGAGCTATACATATGCTTTCTTAGGGATACTTGGTTCAATTGTTGTTTCCAAAAGATAGTTATATTCATACACTGTGACCATTCAATTCAACATAGACTGGTACAAAATAATGATACCTGTAATTTGATCATTGACAGTAAATGGAAGGTGATTTAATGCTGTACAGGTATATAGGGATATGAAACTATGACTTAGCTTTGCTTTGGTTGAATTAGGTAAAGGACACATTTTTAATTCTTGCTTCATGATTTTATTGCCCCACATTATACTCATATGTGGTCATATCCGTTAGTACTGTATGTACTGGGGTACTTGCATCCCACTGAAGGTCATGAGCAAAATCAAGGAAACAGTATCTTGTGTAGAGGAAGGAAATTTAGTAGAACTTCTTCAAAGGAATTGTTATGTTTATGAACCAGTAATGTTATCTGTGTTTATAATCCATGTGGTTGGCATAAAAATGTACAGGTGTTCCTCTACTTAAGAACGTTCAACTTACAAACCTTGAGAGATACAAACGTCATCACTGAGGGGGGTTACCTGCCAAAACTGGTGTTTAATGTGGATGAGACCGGATTATTTTGATGAAAATTCCTGATAGAACAAACATTACCTAAGAGGAGAAGAGTGAGCCAGGTTTTAAGGCTGTATTAAAGGGTATAGCTGTACTAAATATCCATAATCTTTTAATTTTTTAAAATATGTTTGGTATCTACAAGAGTAAAGTTGAACTTACAAACAATTGGACTTACAAACAAGCCTCAGGAACGTAGCTCATTCATAAGTACGAGGAACACCTGTACTGTACTGGACCAGCAGGCATTGCATCATGTTGAATAGATCACCTAACACTTCATGTGTTTTCATCAGACTTCCTTTTGTGTGATTATTTAATTTATCTCCTAAATGATTCTAAAAAGATGTACGGTATAAACAGAAATAACAATAATATTTTTCTCACCAATGTTCATTCCACATGCTACATGTTATTTTAATTGGATATACAGTATATGTTAATGTGCAGCATTACTGAACATGTCGTGAGGTTTTTGCTAATTTTGGCATTTTTCAGCTACTGCAGCACAAAATGATTATAGGAAAGTAATATTTTTGCCTCGTTTATATTGATTCTTCAGTAAGCCATTAAAAAAAATTTCTCCCTGTATTTCTGTGTGTAAATGTGTTACACGTTGCCATTTGGGGACAGCAGGTGGCATGATGAGGTGGGGGCAAGAGGGCGTGGAATGTGTGCTACTCGACTCCCTGCAATATAACTCCTATCCCTCCCTCCCTCCCTCCCCTGCTGTCACTCAAGACCCCCTGCTGTCACTCTAGCCCCAGTGTTGCCACTTTGCCCCCTTCCCCATGTTATTGGTCTAAACCTCTATTCTATAATTGCTTTTAATCTCGTACACTCTCATTTGCTGTAGTTTTTCTATTTATTATCTGTTGTTGCTACCCTGAGCTTAGGTACTGTACAATGAATCTATTGTTTCCATGAGTTATTCTCGACCTCTCTGGTGTCATCATTTTGATTTTACTGTAGCTGCCTTGTAATTATTATTGCCAGACTTTAACTACCTTGTTAGTTGTGCTACTGCAAGAAGGCCCACTATTATTTTGTTATGTTTATTAGTCATTTTGGTACAGTTACATCCCTCTAGCCCTTTAAATGCCACATTTGGGTAAGTGAGGGTACAGCATATACCAATAAATACTTGATATATATAAGTTAAATATTTTTTCTTGTGAAATTGAAGATATGATATTTAGAAGCCATAAAAACCACATTTTTTTTTTACTCATCATCGGTTGTGAGATGTAAGTCTTTGAAGTGAGGCAGAGAGTAACTAGCAACTGCTGAGTTCTGGTTCAAGAGGTGGTTATGGTGACAAACAACATGGTTGTGGTGGTGCAGCAGTGGATTTTTGTGGTGCAAAGTAGGTGGTTAGCCCTAGCATAGGTAGTGATCCAGGTTGTGGATGAGGGATCACTGAGGACACGAGGGAGTGGAGGGTGATGAGGTGTAAATAATCCCAAATCATTCCAAGATGATGATGGCAAGTTGATTCTGAGGCTGCACCAGCCTTTTGACTCACTCTAGAGTGTCTACCAATCATCAACTTTACATTCTTAGTTTGATTTTTGGCACATCTTTAAGTCATGGCACCCAATGCCAATCAGTCATCTTAGACAATGATGGTGGTTTTGTGCTAAATCTTTCAGAGATGATGTTAGCAGTGAAAGGGCTAGGACTGTTATTTTCTTCTTTTGAATATGCCAACATTCGTGTGGCAGTATAAAGAGGTGCATTAATATACGGGGGGGGGTATTTTGAATTGTGTTATGTACGTATATGGTTTTGATAACTGTACCACACCAATAGACTGGTTATGCTGTTATAAGGAAAGAATAGATTTGTGAAAATTTTTCAAGGAAACCTCCTCTGTATTTATTGATGTAGCAGCAAACCAGTTTTACTTGGGAGTAAATGGGCAAAGTTTCTAAGGCAAAGACATCTAAGATTTATTTCAGGCTTACTGATAGTTCTCTATTACTTTAGCCAAAGATTGGGGTTTTACTGGTAAAGTTGGAGGTTAATACTTGACAACTGAAATGAAGTTCCATGCATGATAGTTTTGCTTATTTAGCTGCTGAGGCAGATTCTGAATTTTGTTTATTTAATTTTTTATATGTATCTGCACTGTACTGTGTTATGTTTCCCACTTACCAGTGAGGTATCTCTTATTGCAGGTATATTTATGTTTTATATTTGTGTAATCTCTGTACAGCTATTTCTTATTTAATCATATTTTCATACCAGGTTCTCAGGAATCATTTGACCTTAATATGAAGCGTGGTGAGTGATTACATGGCTGTCAGAGAACATTGCTAAGGAATATCACCCAGGAATATGGCTTAGAGAGTACATGTGGTCGACATAATACAGCGATGAATTACCCATGGATAAAATGGTGAAACAGAACACAAGTAGAGTGAATCCATTTATTTTTTACAAGAGGAATTAAGAGGAATCAGCAGAAGTGTGTGTTTGAGTGTCTTTCCCGGATGAAGATGATGCTACAACGAGGGGGAGGTGGAGGGGATCTGTGGTGCCCCTCCTCAGACCCACCTATACCATGCTCACCATGCACTCATCCCTACCCCCCATACTGGACAATTGGCAGGTATTACTGAAACTTTTTGAGAGAGCACAAACAACACACTGAGTTAATGTTAGTGGCTATTTGCTTACTTGCACTCTGTACATGTAATGATGGTTGTGGGTTCACCAATGCTCACTTCAGTGCTTTAATACAGTTTGGTGGTGGGATGTACCATAATTGCTTTAGAGATTGTTCTTATAAACTTGCTAGTCAAGCAATATTGTAAGTAATAAGAAAAATGTTTCATATACAATTATTAACCATTTATGTCATATTTCTTGTAGATGTGTTTAAAATATGTAGTGAACAAGTTATAAAAAAATTTCTTGAGTGGGATTCAGAAATAAAAAAAATTGGCATTGTACATAGTGTATAGAAAAATATTTTCCTGAATTCTTGAATGAGATTTAGATTTAAAGTGGGTAATATGTTTACCCTGTACAGTATATTGAGTAGTACAGTATTGTACAATATCAGAAGAAATTGATGGAACAATTTGAAATGCTGAACAATATTGAGGGTTTTATGATGAAAATTTCAATGCATTTTGCTATGTGAAATGGGGGAAAATGGAAGTTATATTTGATATGAGGAACAATGGGGTCAAACATGAGCAGTGGTTCCCAAACACGGGGTTGCAACCCAAAATGGGGTTGCAAGATGCATCATAAGGGGTTGCATAGAGGTCATGGGGTCGATGGGGTCCCATAAAACTCATAGTCCAGGTGTCAAGGACTGAAAGATGTGGCCGACAGGTGCTGTCTCGTTAAGTCGGGAATAATGCAGTTACCGTACTCTCCTTGTGCCAAGTCAGGCCAGGCGAACGCTGATGACGTGTTATGCAGCAGAAAATTCACACTCCTACCTTTGAATTGTTCTCAGCTCAATGCAATCTGTACTTCCCATGGATGCAGACAAAAAATGGCAAAATTTTTCAATGATAGATTCCTTGAGTTGCTTACTGAATCATTGGATTTTGTTCAGTTTCTGTTCAAGACAGATGTAAAACAGTGTGGCTCTTTTGTCCTCGAAATAGCAGAATTACAGGCTGACAACGAGGCAAGGGTGATTTTTGCCATCTATGATGACATATTAGTGTTTTGGGTTATCAAATGAACATTCAGCGGTTAAAAATCAAGCTATTAAGGTTCTGATATAACTTGGAAGTCTGTGAGGCAGCTTTCTCGTCAATGTTGTTTATAAAAAATTATCACCGTAACCGTATATCAAACTTAAACTTAGAGAATTGTGTGCTATGTTGTTTAATCAAATAATTATACCCCCAGTTAACAGAAAATTTATTAAATGATAGTGCACACACGTTACATTTGAATTATGACTGATGTAACTTGTAATGAAAATTAATTACATGATGATGTATACAATTCACATATGAAATAAATACAGTACAGTATGACAGAGATGTAACTAAGAAAATTGTATGTTTTGTTGCTTAACCATGTAATTATATCTCCACGTATAGTGTAGAACGTTAAATGATTATATACAATAATGTCACATATTAAGCATGCCAGAGTTGTGGCCTGTTTCTGCCAGTGTTTACTTTTAGACTTCACAATTTGTAATACATATTCCTTACTTGTTTTTACAGTTAAATACGCACTGTATATCAATATGTCCGTATTTACTTGTTTTAACAGTTAAATATGTATATCAATATGTCTGTATTTACTCTATATATGTACAGCATACTGTATGTAATGACTTGGGGTCACACTGGATAGGCGACAGTACTAGACAGGGTCGCACTGGCAAGTGCTTGGGAACCCCTGCTATAGAGGCTTAGATATGGAAAGGAAGGAAGGTGACATATATGATCAATAGGTTTCCATGAAAAGTTTGAGTGAGCCACACCAAGTATATTTGATACCTGTATCCACAACAGTAACTTTTGATGAAAAAAAGGGGGAATACAGTTTATACTGTATCGAAAATACACATGGAAAATTGTGGTGTTTACAGAAAGTGTCCAACAGGATTGTAATGGAGAGAAGAATCATAAAGGTACTGTATTGTAATGTGAAAAGGTAGAGAGTGAAGAGAATATTATGAGCACTTGATAATGAGTCCATGGAAAATTGGCCTGGAGTATGGTACATGCAGTTTCTTTGACTAGAAAAATGATGATAGAGTGACTGGTGTGGGTATTGAAATTCTGTTGTCTTAATGATAAAGTTAGAGTAGAAGTTGGATGCACCAAGGTTTTATTAAAAAATATGGAGCCTTTTTCAAAATTCCTGGAGAATTTAATGAGCCCAGGGTTATTAAGTGGAGGTAAAGTAGGAATATTTCATATCAACATGTTTTAATGGTTAAGTGACAATGTTTGTAAATGATTCTAAATGTTATTATAATGGCTAAAAGTATAGAAAGTATGGTAGCATGTGATTAGATAAGAATGATTGATTTATAGTTCTACAAGAAAATTGTGTGTTGAGTGGGTATGAAAACTGTACAGTGCTGTGTTACGGTCATGGGATTTTGTTTCTTATTTAAAGAGGCATTGGAAAAAGTTTGGAGTTGATGTCTGTAAACAAATGGATGCTTGTTATGTGCTGAATATGAAGGAGCAAGAAACATGAATAAGGGAGATAGAAATAGGAATGAGGGAATAAACAAATTTGTGTGGGAAAAAGAAAAAGGAGAATTATAGTGTTATGGCAAAAGGAGATGCAAAGATACAGGACACTGAATGGCAAATAAATGCAACATATGAGAACTAGGGAGGACATGCACATGGAACATAAATTGAAAATCTCATGTGAAGAGAGTTTTTTTAGTTTAACAAATTTATTGACAAAGTTTGTAGTACAGTTTGTCTATTCCGAGTAATTCAGTCAGGTCTTGACACTGAGGGTGGTATCACTTCTCACTGCCACGCAGGACAGAGGTTCATACACAAAGAAATACAACATATTCATTAACAGTTATATACTGTATAGAGGTCAGATTCATGTGGGTAATGTCACTGTTCACTGCCATGCAGGACAGAGGTTTGTACACAAAGAAATACATCATATTCATTATCAGTATATATAGGTCAGTGGTTCACATACATTGGACGTCATATTCTATTTGAAGACTAATCAGTGTGGGCTAGCAAATTTGGGATAAACAGCAAGGATGTCCTCAAGCACCCCTGATTCAATGTAGTAATTACAAAGTTCAAGATACAATAAGTCAGGTGGCCTGAAGTCTTTGACAGTGTCACATTCAATAATATAGTGTTCAAGTGTATGCTTTAAAGGTTTATCACAAAGTTTACATGCTGAGTGTTCTGGTATGGGTACAGCGTTACTAACCTGCCAGATGTGTCTGTATCCTAGCTTAATTCTGGCCATGACTACATCACATTCTCTGGTTCTGTCCTTATGCTGGCCATACCTGTACCTCTTGTCACAAAATTTGTCATATTTACTCATGCTACAACTGCCAGGTCTCTCTGCATTTCTCACTTCTTCTAGATCAGAGCTCATGATTCTGACTTGAATGTTTTTAAGTACAGCATTGGACAGGCCAAGGTCACAGTCAACATTTTCTTTCTTACATGCCTCAATGGCCAGTCGATCAGCAGGGTCATGATACCTTATTCCAACATGGGACGGGATCCACACAAATTCGATATAGTTGTTCTCATTGACAGTTATCACATTCCTTTTAATATCACATACAACTTTAGACATAGAGCCTGACGGGCTGTTCATTGATTTCAAAGCACTTTGAGAGTCACAGAATATCACCCCACCTCCATTTTCTTTATGGTAATCTGTGGAAAGAGAGAGATAAAATGATGGAGAGAAATAGGAAAAAGAAAAGGGTGGGGAATTAGCTTGCAGCACTTACTGTACAAGGGAAGACGCATCACATGTTACAGTGAGGGAATTGAGCTTTAGGTCATTGAGGAAAAGGAAAGCTCTAGTAAACATATGAAGTTTGTGTTCATCAGATATTTTTAGGAAATTAGTAGCAGACAAATATACAGCAAAAAGCGGCAATTATACAGCACTGTACAGTATAAAAATATTCCTGTATCTGAAGAAACCATATGATAATGGGAATGAAAATGTATTGTGGAAGAGTTATTATTTCATGGTGTGGGAGAGAAACTATTGTATAGTTATATAATTCTTTATTAGTAGTAAACAATTTATATTGATGCATTGGAATTTAAGTGCAGGTTTTGGAGAGAGAGAGAGAGAGAGAGAGAGAGAGAGAGAGAGAGAGAGAGAGAGAGAGAGAGAGAGAGAGAGAGAGAGAGAGAGAGAGAGAGAGAGAGAGAGAGAGAGAGAGAGAGAGAGAGAGAGAGAGAGAGAGAGAGAGAGAGAGAGAGAGAGAGAGAGAGAGAGAGAGAGAGAGAGAGAGAGAGAGAGAGAGAGAGAGAGAGAGAGAGAGAGAGAGAGAGAGAGAGAGAGAGAGAGAGAGAGAGAGAGAGAGAGAGAGAGAGAGAGAGAGAGAGAGAGAGAGAGAGAGAGAGAGGGAGAGAGAGAGAGAGAGAGAGAGAGAGAGAGAGAGAGAGAGAGAGAGAGAGAGAGAGAGAGAGAGAGAGAGAGAGAGAGAGAGAGAGAGAGAGAGAGAGAGAGAGAGAGAGAGAGAGAGAGAGAGAGAGAGAGAGAGAGAGAGAGAGAGAGAGAGAGAGAGAGAGAGAGAGAGAGAGAGAGAGAGAGAGAGAGAGAGAGAGAGAGAGAGAGAGAGAGAGAGAGAGAGAGAGAGAGAGAGAGAGAGAGAGAGAGAGAGAGAGAGAGAGAGAGAGAGAGAGAGAGAGAGAGAGAGAGAGAGAGAGAGAGAGAGAGAGAGAGAGAGAGAGAGAGAGAGAGAGAGAGAGAGAGAGAGAGAGAGAGAGAGAGAGAGAGAGAGAGAGAGAGAGAGAGAGAGAGAGAGAGAGAGAGAGAGAGAGAGAGAGAGAGAGAGAGAGAGAGAGAGAGAGAGAGAGAGAGAGAGAGAGAGAGAGAGAGAGAGAGAGAGAGAGAGAGAGAGAGAGAGAGAGAGAGAGAGAGAGAGAG